CAACCATATTCATTATTCTTCTCTTCCTTTAATAATAAAACTCCCATGTTTTGGCTGTGTGCATGACCATTTAGTTATAGATTACATTTTCTCACCATCTTTGCAACCAGGTGTTACTAGTGATTTTTTGCCTGAAGGATATAAGTGATTTTATATACCAAGTATTGCCTTTGCGAGAAATAAGGGTGTGCTTTTCTTGTTCCTTTTTTCATCCTTGCAGTCTAAGATGCAGATGTGATGGCGAGAACTAGAGTAGCTATCATGGACCCAGAGATAGAAGCAATATCTTGAGGATGGACTGAGCTGTCCATCCTATCCTGTGCTGCTTCCTGGAGGATTGTTGCAGGAGAGAATAACAAACCTCTCTTCTTAAGTCACAGTATTGTTGGGATCCCTGTTTTAAAGCAGCCTAGACTGTATCCTTATACAGGACAAGACACTGAACAAAGTTACACAGCTTTTGAGTAAGGCGTAGAGAGAAGATTTACATCCAGGTCTGTGTGCTTGCATAGCTCAAGCTCTTAGTGAGCCCTTCAATTATTGTGGATATGTGACAGCCCTCCTATATGCTGGAATAGTAAAAAGGCTGAGAAATATTGCATTATCTATGACATCTCCCAGATGAGAAGATTTACCTCTCCTTTTCCCTTGGGAGATGGAAAGATTAGTTCCGAGTCCCACCAAAATACAAATGAAAGTGGAAGACATCATGAAGCTATAGAGAAAGCTTGAATCTATTAAGGTCAGTTGCATCTTTTTTATAAGAACCAAAGCAAAATATTTAATCACTGTTATGGGCTCAATTGTGTTCCTCCCAAATTCATAGGTTGAAGCCCTAACACCTAGTACCTTAGAATGTGACTGTCATTGGAAGTAAGGCCATTAAAGAGGTGATTAAGTTAAAACGAGGCCATTTAGGGTTGGCCCTGACTGGTTTCCTTATAAGAAAATAAATCTGAACACACAAAGAGACCCCAGGGATGCCCACACAAAGAAAAGACCATATTGAAGAGGGAGCTAGAGAGCCACCATCTTCAAGCAGAGAAAAGAGGTTTCAGAAGAAACCAAACCTTAATTTTGGACTTCTAGCCTCCAGAACTGTGAGAAATAAAATTCTGTTATTTAAGCCACACAGTCTGTGGTACTTTGTTATGGCAGCCTTAGCAAACTAGAACAATCATTTACGCTTAAAACCAAGGAAGGATATAGTGTCTGCTTCCACCACATTAATAACTAAGCAAATGAATAAATGAATAGTGATGATGCCATAGTGCCGGGAAACAAGAAGAACATTTTGTTCTATAGTACATCATTCGTTAAATAAATGCATTTTAATTCAGCTTGACTGGGGGGAAGAATGGTGGCATGACCTAGCTTAGAAAAGTGTAGCAATCAGAACACAAGAGGCTCTGTGAAATATTTCAACTAAATACAAAATGACATTGGCCTGGATACATCTGTAGCCAAGTCAAGGACTCTGAAATGATGAAACAGCAGAATTCTGAACCACAGGCTGGATGGTTGCATGAATTTCCACAAGTGAAGAGTTTCTTAAATGAACCATTAAAATTTTATTAAAAGCAGGCCATAGCTAGAGGTCAGAAGAAAAGGTTACACAAGGTTACTGAAAGAACAATATTTCATGTTTGATTTTTAATGAACCATTTTTTCCCCATGGTTATAGGAATCTTCCTATATTCCTAAATAAAGCATTTTAAATACACAATACACAAAATTGCACCCATTGGATTTTTTTCCTGGAAATTTACTCTTGTATATTCAGTTTTAGTTGTTGGTACCATCATCTCCTAGTTCCCCAAAGTGGAATTTAATTTTTGTGTAGAACTAAGGACAAAACTTTCTCAGCCATCTCTTTTTATGGAACAGTATTCTGAGATTCCCAGGCAATACACCTTAAAACTTCTTTCCATTTGTAACTGTGTATCTGTGTAAATCAAAATTATCTTGCCACTGTACAAAAAAACTCAAACATAAGAGAATTGAAAAGCTGAGACTAATATAAGACACAACTCTCATCCATAATCTCTTTATTAACTTTGTATTCAAACAAATATCAAACTTTGTATTCCATTGTTTTAACTTACAAAATAAATATATGCTAATTAAATTTCCTTTTAATGTAATTTGCATATTGGTGTGCTGTATAAGATTTAATTTAGGGTAAAAAGTCCCCTATGGAAATCTCATGGAAAACAATCATTGTTCTCTAAAACAAAAAGATCCTTAATGAGAGACACAATAGAATGATTCCACCTGCCTCTTCAGCCCCATCCCTTGCTACTCAGCCACACATAGATCTCTGAAAAATCATCTTGTTACTCATTCCTCTGTCATCCTCTGTCTATGGTGTCCTTGCTTCTCCTCACATAAGACTCACCCCCACACATCCTTTAAGACTCCCTTCACACCTCTCTAAAAAGCCTTTCATGGTTCACCGAGGCACAGCCAGAAGAATGTCTTTCATGCAACGTTTAATAACATACGTTTTCAATTTTTATATTTATTTATCTACATTGCTCACTAAATTGAGCTTCTGGAGGGGGGATTGTGCTAGAGACAGCCTAGCACATGATAGATGATAAATATTTGAGAAGGAAGGAAAGGAGGGAGGGAGGGAGGAAAGAAGGAAAGAAAAAGGGAAGAAAGGAGGGAGGGAAGGGGAGGAAGGGAAAAACAGTGCATATTAAGGAGGACGTACAATGAGGTAAGTGTTGCCATTATGGTACAATTTGAAGAAAATATTGGCTAAGCTGTTTCTCAAAACTATTTTTATTATCTGGCTTTCAGCTAAGTAAAATTCCCACCAGAAGAGATTCATTTTGGGTTAAGAATTAGGACTCTGAAAGCAACAATTTAAGCTAGAAATACTCCTCTGCATCTAAAATATAACCTCATGTTCCCAAGTCTTTGGACGAGTTAACCAGAGGAGAGATGGGCCTGGGAAGAAGGGACAGAAAAGCGGATAATGAGACCCATTCCATGCCAGTTTCCCAGGGTGGGTGGGAGAGAAAGGACAGAACAGTCCAAGCGCGTCAGCAACAATTCAGGGCCCAGTGATGACATGTTTAAACACTGCCTTTTTGTGTGTTTTTCCAGCAATTCTGGGAGATGGAAGGGTGGCACATTTCATTTGGAGAAACTGAGCTCCTAAAAGATTAGATAGAGTCAAAACTGGCAACAGCAGCCCAAAGTTTCAATGGTCTCCTCTCCCAGACCAATGCCCTGTGGAAGGGAGAGAAATTATGTTGCCTTCCTAATGATAACATGCTGATTCTGTTTGTTTAACTAAAGCTACACCCGATTAGCAGACCATAATTATGGCTAAAATGCTTGTCTGTGATACAGTTGACAGAATGTCTGTTTCCCTGAGCTGAACTCCAAGGAAAGGTTTTGCTCAGGGTTAAGCCAGGCTGCCTGAAAGCGATAGGGCTGTTTCACTGTCACACTGGATATGTTATCTGAGCAGTGGGATTTCCTACAGCTTAGGTTTCACATGCTTTACTTTGATTTCCTGGGGCGATAAAGAAATTTGCTTGTCTTTTAATGGCACTTTTAGTGGCCGCAGCATGGTAAAACCTGAAGTACTTCCCTTTGTGTCTGGGTGGGAAGAGATTATTTTAGGGAATGCCCTCCCTACCCTGCCCCCGATTCTCTCCTTGCTTTTCAGGCTTTGCAGAAAATAGTAAAGTCTGGTCATTAATGATCCTTCCCTTCTCCAGTCAACTTTGAATTTTATTCTTAATTCCTTGAGACTTACAAATGGAAATGAATCCTTTTCTCAGTTGCTAGTGGTTATCTATAGTGCATCAGGAAATGTTCTCACCTTTTGCCAGAATCTTTTATATAGTTCTTGCTCTCTTCTGTCTGGTCCCTTCTCTACTCACTCTTATATGCTTTTTAAATCATAAAGCAAATTGTAAACTGAATTTGACTAAAATGCCATGAAATAAATCAAGGTGAGAAAAGTAAGCTGAGAGCAGAGTTGAGAGTAAGAAGAGAAATACTTGAATGGTTCTGTTGTGTCCCCCAACCCCCAACCATCCCAGACTTTCCTTAAATGGAGCCCATGGTTTGTGGGCTCTCTAATGAATAGAGGCCGAGAGGCAGCCTCACATTCGAGGCATGCTATTATCTTTTTTTTTTCCCCCTCATTCCTTCTCCTTAATTAGGGGCTTTAAAGGGAGGTTGCCCACAGTTTCTGACAAACAGCATTAGCTTCCTCAGATTGCGATGCTTGATCCTGGAGCTCTGTGCTGAAGAACTGACTGTTTTGTTGAGGGGTTACACTGCAACATGACATTGTTTACATCTGCAGAATGCAGCAGGAATACCTTGACAGAGAATCAGTGGCAGAGATTATGAAATCCCTATTCCTGAAGGCCTCATCTTCTAGGACTGAGTTTAGTACATCTTAATAATAAGGCAGGGAAATAAACTAGACCAGTTTTCACTGAGTTTCACAGTTTAACTGAGACCCATGATAAGATACATTTTGCCTGTAGCAAACATACACACACATCCCCCCAACGCACAAAATGAAAATTTCATAAAACAATATTTATCCCTACTACATACAATGTCTTCTACTTTCCATTCTATTTTTTCCTGTTTTTTAAAAATGCGAATCTCTACCCACTGACTTGATTCCCTCACACTAAGGAGTGGCAACCCACGGTCTGAAAAACACTCAATGGGATGTCCTTTTACTTTCTAGCCCTGTAATTCAATAAAGGCTGATTCTGAATTGAGGACAAGCCTGATGAGTTTGAGGTATGTAATAAAGGAATCTGATCAGCTCTGGGCTTGTTGTGTTTTTAAATCTTCCTCTGTGTGTTCATTCTCTTCACCACAGAGAGGATTCTATTATCTCTGCTCAAAGAGCAGACAGTGCTCGACTGTTTCCCCCTGCTTCTCTTTGATCCCTGCAGTCGTGCTCAGCCCTTCCCCCCAGCGCTCCCTTCCAGACCGGTCGAGGCTGTTGGGACTCGGGATTTGCTGGACCGGGGGCCTGCTGAGTGTTCACTGTTCCCACCTCCAACCTGCTCCATCCCGCTGCTGAGCTTTCATTCCGGATCTGCCAGGTTAATGGGATTATTGTTCTTCTCTGGTTGTTATTCTCTTATTTCATACAGGGTGTATCAGTTTGTTCCTGGAACAATGTTTAGTTTGCTGCTGAGATGACAAAAGTGGGTAGAGATTTTATCTTAGAAATAAATCTTCATCAGCCAGAATTTAATCTGGGAAGAATTTATCCACCCTCAAATTAGCTACTTTCAGTGGTGACTCAAAAATAAGATTTTTTTCAACAGATAAGAGGAAATGCAATGTGTCTTAAACCACAAACCACACATTTTTAAATGCATATATCACCACCAAATCAATTGTACAGCATTTTAGCTTCAACTTTTAATTTTGGTTAGAAAGATAAGTTGTTACTCATTGTAACAACATTTACTGGGCACATTTCTTGACCTCAAGGTATCTAGACCTTCAGAAGGGAGGTAAGAAATGCATGCAAATAGCCATCATACAAAATAAAATGTTAATGACTTATACACACATTTACACAGTATGTTTTTATACAGTATAAAGCCTAATCATAGTATCTTTCCCTTTTCAGAACTCATAAGAGTGAAAGAAATTACTGATTCCTAGTGTGTCTGTCTTTTCAAGATATGATATTGTCTAATTTCTCTATTCCCCATTTTAACTGAAAGCACGATTGATTGAATGAATGAATGAATGAATACTGAGTGCCTACTTTGTGTCATGTGCTGCAAAAGTGATGAAATGACCTTCCTGTTAACCTTTCTATGGTCTCTTGATGTTCTTCTCAAGTGAACTGGCTGTCCAAGAACTGGACTACATTAGGTTGGATAGAAACTGAGAAATAGAAAGAGTCATAAAAATAAGACCATTAGGACTCAACTCTTCCCTTCCCCTCTGACTGTCTAGAGCAGCATTATCCAATAGAAATAAAAAGTGACACAAAATATAAAATTTTTAAATAGCCACATTTGAAAAACTCAGGCAAAATTTATTTTAGTAATATATCTTATATAAGCCAAAATATTATTATTACAACATGTAATCAATGTAAAAAATATTAACAAGGTATTTTCCTTTTTTTTTTTTTTTTTAACTACTGTCTTCCAAATCTGGCATTTATTTTCCACTTACAGCATATCTCAATCTTGACTAACCATATTTCTAGAGTTCAATAACCTTGACTCGCTAGTGGCTACTATATTGGACAACACAGGTTTGGTTAAAAAATTTTTAAAAAGCAGAGTATACCCAGACACACTGGATAGGTTAAAAAAAAATTTTTTTTTAAGCAGAAGTAGAGAAAAGCCTGGATAGTTAACAAATTTCTCTAATATTTAGAGGAAGGAACTCTTACTTCATGGGGTGAGGGTGGGGGGTGGACTGAAAATGATTTTTCTCTTCAAATTGGTGGAGAAATGGGAGTTGCCACCACAGGATCTCCTCCTTTCTCTTCTTCCAGCTTCTCAGACCTGAGGAAATGAGGGAGAACTGGGGTGGAACCTCTCCTTCCTTTCTCCAGCACCCCAGGATCAGCATCTCCTCAAGGAAAACAAAGGTGAGCCCTACAGTCCTCACATTGGCATCATACCTTGCAGTTGATAAATGCTTTCACATACAGTAGCTCACTGGATCATTTTAATCACACTGTGAAGTAGTCAGTACAAATAGTTTTATCCTCATTTTACAGACGAATGCCCTGGATCCGGGGAGATTACACGACTTGCCCCAAAGTAGCAGTTAGTATCCAAGTGTTTTGAAAGTGTTTCATCTTGTATGTGTTCCACTAAATCAGAGATGTCTGGTGAAAGGAAGTAAAGAAAATATTTACAGAAGTATGGATTTTTTTTCTTTTTTGGCAAAACACCAAGTTTACCCCACACCCCCTAAAGAACAACTTGAAATAACTTTATGAAAGTATTATAAAAACAACCTGTTGGTCAATTGAGCCTTTAATTTTTAAGTTGGACAGTGTCGTCTAGGTTAGCCGTTTAGAACACCTCACTACTGAGAGCAAGTTAATACATTACAAAGGCAGAGTTTTTTCATTGGCTCTGAAATGTGTTGCAATCAATTTTGTCCTGGCAAACAAATAAAAGTGGATTGGCAGCATGGTTGTTATATGAGATGCTGGCCAAGTCCCAGCCCCTAGGATGTTGGCTTACCTACCAACAATACCTCCCTTTCAGGCAATGCCAGCTGTTTTATGAGCAGATCACAGTTCTCTGGAAGTGAGCTTTTGTGTTTTGCTCTAGTCAGCAGGATCTAACTTTACTACTGCCGTGTCGGGAATTACAGTAATTCTATTAACTTTTGATGCATCCTTTTTCTGACACTGTGTGTAAAACACTGGGACAGACTCTAAAGACAAAGAGCTCATTCCTTGAGAATAGGAATTCTGTCTTTTGAAAGGTCCCTAGAATAAAGAATGTTCAATGTTTATCACTCTCCATTTTAGAAGCATAATGAGCTCTAGAGCCACGTTCTCATTGATTTGTTTCAACTACTCGTGTGTTTTTCTGCTCCACCCAACTGTGTTCCTATTTTTATCTCTTTCATTCTACTCTGGAGCCATTTTGTTTCCTGGTTAGTTCACTATTCAAAATATTTTTTTCCTCTTTCATTTTATACCTATTTTAATAATTCTTGGCTATTGCTTTTCTCGGTTAACCTTTGGCAAATCATAATGAAATAAGTTTAGCTGCTTGTTTTGAGCAAGAGTTGCTGTAGAACTTGGGATGGTCTGGGAGCAAATTAAAAATCATTTAGATACCCCTCAGAATATGGATGAAATACTAAGATCCAGCTGGGAGTGAGTGTGTCCAGCTCTTGTCATTCACAGTAAATCCCCTGGCACCTCCCTACAGCTGCCACAGTGATGCTAATAATGGTGACTCCTTGGTTGAAGTGCTGAGTAGTGAATCCTTTGCCCTAGTTATGTGCCGCATACTGTGATTTCCTTAACAGTAAGCAAGTACTAAAAACACAAAAGGAAGACACTATGGCCCACTAAACTACTCTCTTTGTCTAATTTGTCACTCAGTTCTATGCCTTCCTTCCTCTATAGGAAATGGGGCATACATAAATAATATCCAACTTGCAGAAAAATATTAAAATATACAGACACTTTTGTATAACCAGCATTTTTCTTAGCCAAGGTCAAAGGTATAAATAAAGCAACTTAATATCCTCCATTCCTCTCTCCCCAATAACTGCCTCTCTAGAAATCCTACTCTCCAGAACCCAGTAATCAGGAATTACGGCAATTTACTTGCTCTACGAGGCCAATTCTAGAAGCTTATTAGCTATCTTTCTTTAGACATTTTTTAAAATATTTTTTGGCCCAATAATTTACTATGTAATCAGGAAAGGAGGCAAGGTTTGTTAGCAATTTAGAGTTAATGTTGCTAAAAACAGTCTGATCCAAAGTAACTGATATTGGAGCAAACACACCTTTATTCCATCATCATCTGTGTAAGTTTACCCATGGACATGAGAGAACAGACATTTATGGTAGGTTATATTCTTTGACAGCATAAATTCTACTCCACATTCAAAGTACCTCAGAGGACCCAGATGCTGCTAAGATATTTTACTGGTAAGATTCAGTCCTCCTCTCTATATCCTGCATTTAAAATTCAAGTGGTTTCTCTTTCTAGCTACCCCATAACTTCTTTGTTGGTTAAAAGATGTTCTAACATTTAAAACGTCAAATTATATAGCTGGAAAACTGGACTATCTGGCTCACATACTCCACCTTTCTCAATCCCTATATTCCTAACAACATGTATTCATTCTGTCTTTTCAATAGGCACATTGAAAGTATCTTAAAGAATTTCTTACTTGGATTTAAATGAGAGTATCTGCAAATACTGATTCAATTCATATAACACACTGAAAAGCAGCAAGAAAAATGATCTGATTGTCCATGTAGTCTGCATACTGGCTTGGTTTCCAGACTTGTGTTTGAAAGTGTATATATACACACACATTCTCAAGAGTTCTCATATTGCTTTTCTTTTATTATTTTACTAGACTATTTCTCAGAATGTTACACACACACACACACATGCACACACGCACGCACACACCATATTGAGAAAGTTCTTGGTTCACTAAAATTGCCTAGAGTGATTGCGTTGTAATAGGTTCCAAAAAAGTAATGTTCTTTCCTGTAAACAGCACTGGAGCTTGTGAGAAGGCACTGACCCACCCTTCCTACAGCTTTTTCATGCCAAAAAATATAAGGAAAGATGTAGCTCCCTAAGAAAGGGGGAGAGAATCTATTAGTCCCCTTTTAAATGAGTAGGATTTAAAGTTATGAACTAGAGAAAAGTAAAAATATAAAACAAATCTTTTCCAGAGAATAGTAAAATATTAGAGCCTTAAATCTAATGAGGACATGTCTTGCTTTCTTCATTATCATTGTCATACAAGTTAATCATGTTTATTTCATTAAAAAAACAGAAAACATAGAGAAGCATGGAAAGCATTACAATCCCCTACAATTTCATCTCCTAAACACGTACACATTTATAGACCATGTGTGTGAGTTAGTGTACACATATATACATATGGAATCTGATCCAGCAAATAGACAGATCTTTTTTAGCAAAATAATATCATAAATTATATTTTGCTGTATAAATTGACTTTTTTACTTAACAACAAATCAAGTAACTTGTCTGTCCTTGAGCCAGCAACTTTGTTGTGTTACAAAGACTTTAGCCTGAGGAAAGTTTCATATCTTTTGCAAGGTTAACCTTTCTATATGTAATTCCAAAAGGTTAGGCTAAACCTGAGACTACAGGGCTTTGGAAAATAGGCCCTGTGAAATACATTTGCTTTATAAATGTTAGTATATAACACATTTATGATCAGTTGCACAATAAAAATCCTTCCAAATACATTTTTGTGCATGTATCTGCTTATTTTTATGGTTCTCAGAATTGTAATTGACAGGTCAAAGATAATGCATTTTTATTTATTTGTTTAGGTTTTGAAATAAATAAAATTCTAAATTGCCCCATAGAAAAATAGAACCAACGTATATCCCACTATCAATGTACATCTCTTTCTCTTACAGTTTTGCCATCATTTGAAGATCACTTTCAGAATGATGAAAAATAGATAGATGTTACCAATCTGATAGGTGACAATTTACCTTTCTCTTACTCTCTTGGCATGCTTTACTTTGATTATTAGCAAAGTTGGTGTTTTCCATGTTTATTGACCATTTTTATATTTTTATTTTTTGAACTGCCTTTGCCCTTTTATTTTTTGATTTGTCTCTTTCTAACTGAATTGTAAGACCATTCTATCATTAAACTTACCAGAACTTTGTCAAAAATATTGCACATGTTTTGCAAGGTAGCCCAGATTTCAGTTGAGGGAGTAGGGAGGACACACTATCCACATAGCTCCTTTTATGTTTGTCCCATACCATGACTACAAGTGTGCATGTCTCTGATGCTCTAAAGAATCCTCTCATGCAAAAACCTTCATGAACATGAAAACGTAACTGGAGTTTTCATAGAGAAGATGAAAAACAGGTTTTGCAGAACACACCTCACAGAAAAATCCCCCATAGACATGTCTGTTCTTATTCATCGGCAGCTATATCTGGGGCTGGAGTAGAGGCTGGTTTATAAACAATCCAGTTCTTCTCAACTTGCTTCCTCAGACTTACCTTGATGCTCAGCCAAACAAAGGGCCCTCTAGTTACCAGAAATTGCCCTCCTTAGAAGACAGTTTAGCAATCATCTTAACTTGTTTCAAACATGCCCTTTGGGATATCATGCCCAGTCCCAGAAATTTACCAAAGTATTTCTTCAGATCCTGTTCTGTTAAATTCAAGAGTGTTAACTTTCTTCATGTAGTTTCTGCACATTTCTTGTCAATTTTATTTCTAGGTATTTTTTCTTCTTTGATTGCTACTACAATTGGTCACTTCGCTCCACTATATTATCTAACCAATTATTCTTTATATATAGGAAAACTATTGATTTAGATACTTTTTTGAGTGTAATCAACCACCTTGCTGATTTATCTCATTGTTTCTGATTTTTTTACTTCTCTATTTTAATTGATATTATTGATTATTATTATTATCTGCAAATAGTAATAATTGTGTCTTCTTTCAAATATTCATAGCTTTATTAATTTCTCATATCTATTTACATTGGCCAGTACTTCTAATCTAGTAGTACAAGTGATGATGGGGTTCTTTGTCTTTTATTGCAAAAACTTCTAATGCTTCCATTAAAAACAATGCTGGCTTTCATCTGTTGTGTAAACACACACACTCATAAAATTTTAATGTCAAAGAAATTTACATCTACTCTTCTACTGATGGTTTTGGTTTCTTGTTTGTACATGTGTTTTCTTTTGCTTTGTTTTTGTTGTTGTTTGTTTAATTAGGAAAGAATGTTGGATTTAGCAAAGGCTTTTAAGATACTAGTTAATTGATCCACACTAAATTTGAATTATCACTTTTTTAAACACTTAAATATATTTAGACATGTTTATGGGCTGTTAATTCTATTGCACTGATCTATA